GGGGAGAGGGTGGACACCACAGCGGGGGGGCGGGGGGGGGGGGAAGGGAGGGAGGAAAGAGGGGAGCAGGAACGGACAGAGGAGAAACCGAGGTAAAAGCAGCCTGGGCTGGCTGGCCGTGCAAAACCAGACCTGGTGGGCTAACTGCTACCAGGCACCTTGCTCAACCTTGGCACCTTGAAGATGGGTGGACTTCAATTCCCAGAATTCCCTGGCCAACATGGATGTCAGGACTAGTTTGTCCTCAGATGGGAGACCACAAGGAAAGCCCTATGTTGTGGGTTAGACTACAACGGTGTTTCTCAACCTTGGCCACTTGAAGATGGGTGGACTTCAACTCCCCTTGCTGGCTGGGGAATTCTGGGAGTTGAAGTCCGCCCGTGTTAAAGTTGACAAGATTGAGAAACACTGCTCTATGCCATACCTATAATGCATTTTAGCAGTACAATTTACTCATGCTTCTATTCTCTTTGTTGAAAGCACTGGGTGTTAGAAATTGTTGTTGATCCACTTGAAATCACCCAGAGGTTTCTAGCTCTCACTCTGCAACCCTGATTCACACAGCTTCAAATGATACTTATGGAAATATGCCTATATCTTATGTCAACAACACGGAGGTCATCTACTCAGCTCAGCACTTTCAGCAACTGGTGGCTTCTGCTGGGAACTGGGTTTGATCAAACCTGTCAGAGAAGGGGAAGGAGATGGTCTGATTTGGGGGCCTGGAAGGCAAAAACTGATTTAAACCCCCTGGGAGACATACCTGTAAACTACCATTAAACTGATTTAATTTAAATCCAATATAACAGCTGCTGGAAAGAAGACTCTGAGATATAATATGGGACAATCTGTCTCTTGCAATTGCCATTTTACCTAGGATGAAAAGCCTTTTAGGACGTAGTGTCCCCAGTCCTTTAATTCAAGAATCAATTCCCATAAATCCATAAGTAGATAATTTTGATAAAATTGATGGATTCCCACCAGCTTTTCCATACGGTGTTGGAGAGGGAGATCCTCTTTTGCTATAAGGAACCAGCCATTGGCACCCCCGTATTGACTCCGGCTGAGCCCCCCACAAAAGCTAAGCACCCTCAAACCTGGATGGGAGGCCACCAAGAATTCCAGGGGCTGTGGGTGAGACTGGGCAATTTCAAAAAGGTCCCTTCAATTGAATGCTGCCATCTTGCAGGACTGAGGCAGGGTGCCTTCTCTGTCACGGTCCCCACCCTCTGGATCAGCATCCCCCAGAGATTTGGACGGTGCCCCCTCTCTTGGGGTTCTGGAAAGCCCTTAAGACCGGGGTTAATGTGGGTGTAAACTATGGGTCAGGCCCCTGCCATATTGTGAGTCTGTACTGTTTGCTGTTTTAGTCCAGGCTACCCGTTTATGAGGATTTTAACTGTTTTACTCTTTTTATGGATTTTGTAAGTCACCCAGAGTCCTCAGGAGTGGGAGGCCATATTAAATTGAATAAATTAAATGAAATATTAAATTAACCCGCGTATCAGTGTTTCTCAACCTCAGCCACT